TTTGCTGAAAAGCATACTCTCGTTTCTTTGGATTTCCTTGGCACCCTGTTAGAAATTAGATAACCATGTATGTGTGGTCCTACTTCTGGAACTGTTCCTCTTATCCATGCAGCTTGGCTTTCACCCAAGCCCCACTGTCTTGATCATTGAGTTTTCATAGTAAGTGTTAAATCTCTTTTTAAAACTGATTTGGCAATGATGTATCGTTTGTTTTCCTATATTTATTTTGCAACCAGTTTAGAGATTTATATGAAAAGTCCTCCTGGGATTTTCATTGTGATTACATTCAATCTACTTATCTGTCTGGGGAACATTTGACATCTTGATTGTATTAAGTCTTCAAATCTATGAACATGGTATACCTCCCCATTTATTTAGTCCTTTTTTGACTTCTCTCATTATAGTTTTACTGTGGTCATCACATGAATCTTTCATATTCTTGAATACAGTTTTCTGTACGTAGTATATAGGTAGTTGATATTGTGGTTACTATTGTAAACGGTACTATTTTGAAAATTGCAAATTGTGAATTGCTAGGACATAAATGACAATTGGCCTTCTTCTCACATCTATTTCACAGCTGTATAGTCCACCATTGTGTGCATGTGCCGTCATTTATTCATCAGGTTTCCTATGTCTGGATATTCATATAATTTGCAAAATTTTGCAGTTACCCAATGAATATTTTTGCGTGTGGATTTTCATAGAGTTGAAATTCTGCCTTCACCGTGAATTTCTGATAGTGTTTTTGCTGGGTTGAAAGTAAATGCACATGAACTTTTGTTAGATATTCCCAAATTCCCCCACGGAATGGCTGTATTTGGCATCCTCACAGAAATGTATGATGCCTGTTATCTCCCACAGCTTCCTCCACACAGAATATTATCAAGCTTTGATTCTTGCCAGTCTCACGAGTGAGAAATGTTATCTCAATGTGGCTTTGATTGATCTTTATCTTATTATAAGTGAGTTGAGTAACTTTGTAGATGTGTCAGAGCTGTTTGTATATTTGTTTTTTGATTGTCTTTTCAGGTCTTTTGCCATTTTCCGGCAAATGTTTTCAATGTTTTAGTTCCACCTTTAAAATGTATTTTCATTTCGGGGAGTGTTGATGATTACGTGTTCTACAGGTTGCAGATCTTTCCTTAGAGTCTGTCATTTATCCTTTGATTCAGCTTGTCCTACTTTTTGCCATTGAAACTTTGTTTTCATGTTCATGGAGTATAATGCATCGGTATTTTCTGTTATATCTTGAAATTTAGTTATAGTTACAGATTCATTCTCTTCCTCTTTCTTGTACGGAACGAGCTGCTAATTTTTTTTCTGTACAGGATTGGATAACAAATATTTTATTGCGGTTTTGGCTGTAACGTCTCTGTTGTGATTCATCATATCTACCATAGCAGTTCAAAGCAGTCATAGGCAGGAAATGAATAGGCAGGGTCGTGTTTCAGGAATGTCAGTGGCAGGTGTTGTGGTAGAAATGTCTGAAAGGGATAGTTTTCTATATTCACTTCTTTCTAGTATTTAAAATCGAAAAGAAGTTTTGCCTTTTATTTCGTATTTTGTTATAGTACTTTCAAACATGCCATAATCACCCATGTCAGCAATGTAATGCCTCAATATATTGAACATGAGGCATGCTCCAAGCACTTGTAAGAAATTATATGTATTATATAAGTTACTCTCAACAGTTCCTTTAGGAAAATATAGTTATATGTTCCATATTCAAATGAGGAAAATGATCAAAGATATGTTAAACAATTCATCCACAGTAAGTCTATTAATGTGGGAAGAGGGGTGATGTAACAAAGTATGATTGAGGTAATACTGAGAAATAGAGAGACATAAAGTGATAATAAATGTCACTCTACTGTATAGCATTCTAGGGCAGCGACTGAAAAATGAGTTCTGCAGAGAACCAAATGGTAAACACCATAGTGTGTGTGAGTCTCTGTTAAAACTGTTTAAGTCAGGCATGTGGTGTAAAAACAGCTATGGACAATTTGAAGTCAGAGACTCAAGGTTGTGTTTCATTAAAACAATCTTTGCAGAACTGGAGATTGCCCTGTCTCAGCCTGGTTTGCAGATTTCCTGCTCCATGGCAACTACTATTGTCATTATGGTTCATAGCAGCTTTTTTGTGTTTGTTTGTTTGTTTGTTTTTCCCAGGGTGTCAGAGAGTATTAATAGTATTAGAGAAGAAAATATAAATAGAAAACCATTTTAAGTGTCATATATGGGGTAATGTTTTAAATTGTTATCAAAACCATCTCATTATTAAATGTAAACCCAGTAAAATAATGACTGCAGTCGTGTGAAAATAACGACTCCACCTCTGACCCTCCATCTTGATCAAGTCCTCTCCTGGAGCTACATGTCCTGGGCCCCTTGCAGCTTAAGATGCAAGTCATAGACATTCCTGCCCAGGCCAATTTGTGGGGAGCCTTGCTCTGGCCCTCCGTATATTTATAAAGCTTATTTATTATTTCGTTTTTAAAGAAACATGTTTTTAACAGCTACATAATATCTTGCCTTTTCAAAGGCAAATAAAAAGGCGTTTCTTTCCCTTGTGTTCATCACTACAGTGTTTCATGGCTGTGTATGTTGAAAACGTAGGGTGGCTCTGTCTCCTGAGGTCAGTCCCCATGGGGACATTGCAATCCATTTCTGCACTGCTCTTTTGAGGATTAAATGAAATAACCTGCATTTAGCACAGATACTGTTAGAAGTTTAATCCCTCTTTTCATTCACTTTTTCCTGAAAGGGCTCATGTTGTGAACTGCATTCAAGAGTCTTCTCACTTCTGTTTCTGTAAACATGTTAGGGGACAGATGAGGCCCCGTTGAGACCCAGGCCCAGAGGCTCCTCCCACGGGGGACTTCACACAGTCAGGAATCACGATGGACAGAGTATGGGACCCAAGACCCTGAGTTGCCCCTGAGAAGGTCCTGACACTGCTGTGGGAAGAATTCCTTCTGCTTTCATAACATCTCTGACCTTCATAGAACCACCTGATCCTCAGGATGAGAAACAGAGTGATATGGTGATTACCTCAGGGACTAGAGTTGAAGTTCAAACGTGGAAATTATATGGTCAAATTCAAAGTTACGGAAATGACCAAAATTTTCTGAATAAGGGTTTAAGCTCAACATTTGACAGTGGACTCTAAGGAGGTGGGAGAGGGGATTTTATAATTTCCCACATTATATGTGTGGATCCCTATTGTTGAAAACTCACAACCAGCCAGCTTCTAATCACAGAATCCAATTCTCAATCATTATTTTTAGTATTATTAGTTTGGGAAGAACCTCTAGCTTTTTTGTTTACAGATAAAGGGAGCATGTATTATCTTTCTTTTTAACCACCTGTCCGTTATTCAGGATTTACATTTTTCTTGGAAGAACCCTCAAGAGCCTGGTCTTGGCGGCACACCCCCACTTTTCTGCACCTAGAATCTCCAGGCAAACCCTGTGTTCCCATTTTGCCAGGCTTACCTGCCAACCTATAAACAGTAACTTTGAAAATTTAGAAAATAAAACCTTTTCTTTTTTATTTGATCCTGACTTTCAAGCTCACTGACTCATGAGTATTTGACAAAATGAGCTTGTTCAGAGCACAGACACCATCCACTTTCCTGGGAGCTATTTCAGATGGTTTTCCCTTAACAGAGGAAGGAAAGGATTCCAGTGACATGACGGATGTCTTAGAAGAAGACTGGCAGCTACGAATTTCCAAAACCTTATCCCCTGGCACATTTTGATAATTTACCTAAGTGAGTCTATGAGGTTTTATGTATTCTCCATGTAGTTGACCCATGATATTTTCTAGTAAAGCAACTTCATGAAACAGAGAACATAGATGATTTTTTGTAGCCTTTTCTGCTCCATCAGCAAATTAGAATCTGGGACAGATTATCTGAAAAGGGAAGTCTTCCAGACGTGTGGCCACCATGACTCCTTGGCCATGGCTTCATGAGTAACCCTCATACTGTCCCGACCAGGCTCTGCTGGGCTGGGTGGCTGGTCTGGGACAAGGAGTATTTGCTCACAAATGCCGGTGTTATTCCTCTCAAGTCAACAAGCACTAAGAAAATTCAAAGTGGCTCAAGAAAGCAGTGAAACAGCATGGACTATTGGTTTGGAAATATTTCTGTTTCTCTCCACATATCAATTCCTCCACATATTAAATAGGTGTATTTGCAGGTTTTTTTATGATGATCACATGAGCTTCTGGACAGTTCTAACCTCCAGCAAATCTACGACAGCCGGTGGAGCTAGATAGATAGGAAATTGTCACCTTTATATTGGGCTTTTCACAATTACTGAAAATCTCGGTATATCTTAATTCTCTCTGAAAATATCAGCCCATTTCAACATCCACAGTCTCCAAACAGGAATGCAGGTCAATAGGAAATTATGTCAACCCAGTCACCCGAGGCAGGGCTAGGGACATCACATTCCCTTTCGTCTTTTCTCTGATAATGAGGTATATAAAGTGCTTCATGTAGTGCCTAGGACATAAGGAGTGCTCAGGAAAAAATACCTATTATTTCCAATTCTGCTAACAGAATTGTATTATATTTATTAATTTTCATAAAGAACTGAATTCTTTTTCTTGGTTGAGCAAATAAAGCAATCAAAGAAATCTGTTGACCCGTGGGCTACAATTGCTAATTCTACCACTCTCAGAATATAACTGCAGATTTTTGGTATTCACTCTGTAACTTCACCTCAGAAGTTAAAAGCATATAAAAACAACAGAACTACAGTAGACAGGTATGATCAGTTTGTGATCGAGACATTTATATGTCAACTTAAGTGGCAAGAAAGTAGAGTGAGGAAGGACAGAAATGATAGGTCAATTATAACAAAAATGAGAAGCTGGCTTATGGTTGACATTGTGAAATAGGCAGACAATTCTCTAGTCTCTCTTAACAAGATTTGAGACTGTTTCACTGTTGGACACTTGTTGATTCTATTAAAGGACATCAGGAACACAAACCTGGATTCATCATAAAATTGTTTGCAAAAGCGCTATCCTAATTTCTCTACACAGATATCTCCTTTAGTTATTTATTTTATTCAACTTAGGTGATGACAACTTACTTAAAAACTCGACAAATACCTGGGAATCCCTGATTTAACTGAAGAACAAATGCATGACAAATAATCTACGTGCCCCTCTCTGCTAAGTTTATCAACTAGCATAGCACATCCTGTTCTGCTCGAGGTGGGACCTTGGCGGCTTTATGGAAAGCGGAATGAAAGGAACTGCATAAAATCTCCTGAGTCTTCAACTTGTTTCATTTATTTGAAGGCAAATATAACCTACTCATTTGACTGTCTGCTTGATTTCATTCTTAGGCTCCTTCAGATGGACTGTCTACCTTTCCTTACCTTGCCCCGGGCATTATGAGGTGAACCCCCATGGGCTGCATGGATGGTCCTCCGTATTCTCTGGTTGCTGCCTGGAAGCAGTCAGTGGGAGCATCTGCAAGAGGCTGGGAAGTGGGAGCAGAGTGAGCTCAGGGCTCCCTCCCTGAAAGTGGTCTGCATCCTCGCAGGGGCTCACATAGTGCCATCTCCCCCGCGCCTCGAGACAGAGGTTGACGCTGAGGAAAAAAGAGGTGCAAGTGGAAGTGGCCATTCCCTTTTACACCAATGAACCCATTGGAGGACTTTGTGTCTTCTCTCCAACAACCTTAAATCCAAGGGTTTAGAAATCTAGCGCCCAAGAAACTCTTTTTGTCAGGGGACATGGTGATGCTTCTTTGAACTTCAACCTCCATTGACCAACATTCAATGGAAATCAGAGCAAAGATGCCATTAGCGTCCTCTCTAGGGATTGGGGCACAGAGCAGGGGGGAGAATCATGGATGTTGATCCTGGGGAGGAAACAGAAAGTTGTGCAAAATCTCCCTTTTATGCCCGACAAAATCCAACCTTGTTCTGTTACTGGGAGAGAAATCTGTGTCCGCAAAGAGGGGCCTAACAGAGTCCTGCTTGTAAGTGTATCTTCTCAGTCTCCAGGTGAAGAACCTGCGAGGTTGATTTTCGAGCAACCTTCGGTGAAAGCTAGAAGATCATGTTTTCAGGCAATAAGAGTGCCAAACCACGCTGCTGAAGGAAACTGTGGTCGTGTGCGATGTGTGTGCACGTCTGCTGGGGACCACCTCACTCCTGCCTCAGCGTCTGGACAAAAGTGACATGAAGATTCCAAGGAAGAAACAGCACCGTGTGAATAAGACGGCTGAGTATGTGGGCCACTCTCTGTAGTACTTGGTGTCTTTCGTACGCAGGGGAGAAGACACACTCTGCCCAAGTACCTACTTGGATTCTCCAGGAATGGACCTGGTCTCTACATAGGCAGATGGAGTAAGTGGGAATCAGAAGAGAAAACATGATTTTATTTTGTAAAAGAAGCAAAGGTTGTTAGAGAAGAGGGGAGAAACGTGATCAAGACAGCCTGTTTCAGGCCTTTCTAACCCTCAGATTGGACACGTAGTGTCCAAGTGCTCAATAATATTCAGTAAGGGCTTTTAATATTCAGTAAGATATAAATGCTTTTTAGAAATACATCTTGGGGCGCCTGAGTGGCTCAGTCAGTTAGCATCTGACTTCGGCTCAGGTCATGATCTCACAGTTCGTGGATTCGAGCCCTGAGTCAGGCTCTGTGCTGACAGCTAGCTCAGAGCCTGGAGCCTGTTTCAGATTCTGTGTCTCCCGCTCTCTCTGACCCTCCCCTGCTCATTTTGTCTTTCTCTCTCTCAGAAGTAAAGAATAAAACATTTTTATAAAATACATCTTAAAATAAAATTCAAAAGCAATGCAAGTTTGCTATGGGACAAATTAGCGTATAGAAGTGACATAGTAAAAACTATCTTGACCCTAATTTTTAGAGTGACCCCTCCAAAGTTGTGCCCTTTCGTCTAATCAGGGCAGCATCCCAGAGTCCATATTTGGGGTGAAACATAAAAAGCACCCCATAAGAGTAGTCAATATGGTGTTCCAGGTGTGCCTAGAAATGTTTAGAAGTGTGACTTCACAGGCAGAGAAGGACAAATATCATATGTTTGCACGTATAGGAGGATTAGGAGGAACTTGACGGAGGAACAAGGGGGAGAAGAAGGGCGGAAATGGTGGGGGAAAGGGAGAGAGGCAAACCATGAGAGACTCTTGAATGCTGACAAAAACTGAGGACTGATGGATGT